AAACTAAATCGATGACGAGAAGGTCACGACCTAGACCTGGGTACGCTTTAACGACATTCATACTTCGCCACTCGGGAAATTAGGAGTAGGTGAATGCATACCAAAGTAATATATGGGAATCGGTCGATTTCCCTCTCTTTGTACTCTTAATTTCGCCAGACTGACACTATACTCCCCTCTGGCACCTGTTCTCCTATTCCGCTGTTTCCCTAGTCCTTAATTTCTCGAGTCGCAAAGTATGAGCGCTCCTGTCTCCTATAGCGTCCTTACTTATCCTGTAAGTTTGGTTTTTACTTAGGGTCAACATTAGAGGTGAATGGACCGAACGTGAAATCTGAATGAATCTGGATTTTTCAGATATCGCGTTGTGTATACGAAGATGCCAATACCGATAGCCGATATGGAACGGAAGCGGCAAATGAAAATCCAAATGATGGATGAGAAAATGGCGATTACGGTAGGGCAACATGATTTTGGTAGATTGCGCATAAAAATCATTTGAAAATGTCTAGGAAATCACTATATTCCCGGAGAAGACTGGCACAGTGCGTGATATCCTTGAAGAGGCACGGCGCGAGTTTAAATTTGCTCCAAATGGTACAGGAAAGCTCAGGTTGGTCTCATATCTGAGTGTTTTCGATTAAATAGTGCATGTGTGACAGGTGTTTGTGTGTGGGTGCCGAGAAAGTGTGAAGCGTTACTTCGGCAACGTTCAGACATCGGGTCGACGCGCTGTAACGCGCGCCGACGCGCTACCACTGCGATGACACCCTAATGCTATAGACGCGACCTCAGCCGCAGGAACGTATCGACAACCCCGGCCGATGCTGCATAGAGAGAGCAAGGCAGAGTAGGAGGGTTCGCGTTGCCTAATCACACTATATCGATCGGCACTGCCGCTAGTGTTTTGGGAGAGTATAGAAGAGTAGGAGACTGTGGTAAGGCAGAGCCTGCTCTCATGTCGTCCTATACTCTCTCTCAAAACACAGGTGGCCGGCGCATATCGTTGCTCATCAGCAACTACGTGCCGTCTATGGTTTTAGAGCGCCATTGCATTGGTAGTGCGTTACATTGCGTCGTCGCGCGTTACAGCGCATTACAGCGCGTCATCGCAAAGTCTGAACGCTGCCTTAGGTGTCGATTTTTTTCACTAAAAGATGGAAACTTCTCATGCAGCAAGGCAGCTTATCAAACGAGCTATACAGCTTCTGTAGTCGGTCTCCGCCCAGTTTCCTTGAATCTTGGGCTTCCACTTTGGCGTTTGAGTTGCCAGTTTCTCTGATTTCTGTTAGCCCTGGTTTGTTGACTGATGATCCCTTTCTAGACTGGTCTATGTCGGCCAGAGTAGCCAGAGTATGAGAGCTTATATGATCTTCAAGGAAGAGACTTCGGTTATGGAAGTATTCCAGAAGACAATGACACCGTCTATGTATATGGTAAGTTTTTTATTTTGTGCAGTGATTGCCACAGTCTCAGCGCTTTTCTTTCGTGATTGCGGTACACTCTTTTGGGCGTCAAAAATGTTAGAATTCAGGGTCGTGTGGAAGAAGTTCCTCAGGATCAACTTGTGGTGAGGAGCAATGAATATCTTGTACCTATAGCACATTTTGACAAAGATCCTGGTCGAATGTTTGGTGTTCCATTCTTCTTGAAGGTAAGTGATGCGTTCTGATATTTTGTTGTAAAAGTAGCGGCATTCATTTTCTAGTTTAGTAGTATATTTTTGAAAAAGCAGACTGTTTCATGCGCCAAAAATCCAGTTAGCTAGCACATTCAGGTGTCGAATGACGAATTGCTGTCAAGTGTTCGAGAACGTATTCAACAGCGCCTTGATATCCCCGACAAGGAGTATGAAAAGTACAAATTTGCACTGATATCATCATCCCGAGTTGTGAGGTATCTGGATATGACTTCAAACGGGAGAGTGAACCTTGCCGAGCTGGGTCATGCTCATGTTGCATGTGAGTTTGTTTGGAATACTTTTGGTTTCCTTCCGTACATCACTGCACTTTATTATCACTTCTTGTCTTTTCGTTTCTGTTCCAAATGAGGAAAGTCCACTCAGAATAATAGGTTTACTGCTGAGGATTTCGACACAGTGGCGATGTTGCGGTGTCGAATGGGCCGTGGGGCCTTTCCCACCAATGATGCCATCCCTGAGTCCACGACGATTGGCTGGTTTTGGCTGTCTGGCTCCAACTCACGCCCCCTCACAGGCCCTGTCATTTGCGGGGATCATGAACTACACTGGTGCTGAAATTCTCTGATGGAATTCAACTGGAGTTCGGTCATGCGCATTAATATTGAGTCAGGCACATCATCGTTGAGGAATACCCAGCTACAGTGTAGTTCGCTGCGGACTTGGGCGTGTCAGGCGGGATGAGTTTGGCGCGGTGCCAAACCCGTTCTCCACCAGTTGTTAAAGCGAGCAAATGATATGACTGTATCATATCGTTCGTATTACTCGTTTTCTACCACTTTTTGTCGCATGCGCGCTTCAACAAGAAGGCAGAGAACGGCTTTGACGGGGTGACACACTCATACTGCCTGACACGCCCAACCGTCCGCAGCGAACTAGAGTGTAGGATCGTTTTTGACCGCTGAGGGGTCGTGAGCAGTTCGGTCAGCAACGAACAGCGCAGCGGCGTCCCATCGTTAGCGAAAGGGGGTGGGGGGTAGGGGTGTGGGAGGGAACTCGTATCAAGGCAACAGTGATTCGGGACAAAAGTATTTGGGCAAGCTCCACGGGAAGACATCTACATCTGTATCTGTATCTGACATCTGTATCTACAGTGATTCAAGAGGGCGGGTTTTATAACAGTCCAGGATCAGTGAGGGGTGTAACCAAGGCACTTTTGAGGGGTCGCAGTGACACAGGGATTTCTGCATCGTCTGATGTACCCTGCACCGTGTGGAAA